AGTTTTTGACTTTTGACCTAGGAAGTTGTACATACATTATGACACACCCTCTGGTGTTGGTTAATATACATGTCAAGTATAAAGTATGAAATCATAACAGTTATCAAGATATAGAGCGGACACAATTTGTTTAGGACGGACGGACAGACAGACAGACGGACAGACCTTTGACCTAGAAAGTTGTACATACATTATGACACATCCTCTTGTGTTGGTTAATATACATGTCAAGTATAAACTTTGAAATCATAACGGTTCTCAAGATATAGAGCGGACAATATCTTTACCATAGGACATGGGGTTGTCAACTTTAAAGCAAAGTTTTTTACCTTGAACTTTGACCTAAGAAGTTTTACATACATTGTGACACACCCTCTGGTGTTGGTTAATAAACATGTCCAGTATTAACTTTCAAATCATAACGGTTCTCAAGATATAGAGCGGACACTATCTTTGCCATAGGACATGGGTTGTCAACTGAAACTAAAGTTTTTGACCTTGAATTTTGACCTAGGAAGTTGTACAAACATTATGACACTCCCTCTGTTGGTTAATATACATGTCAAGTATAAAGTATGAAATTATAACGTTTCTCTAGATATAGAGCGGACACAATTTGGTATGGACGGACGGACGGACAGACTGATCACTAATAATTCTTTTGCGTTAAATAATTATCTTTCAGACACCCACCATTCAAGGACATACATTTTTTCGACTTGAGTTAACTATTTTATTAAACAACATGCAGGAACGATAATTCGTTTTTAGTTCAATGTTGTATTATTTTTCTTTCCTAATTCTATATGGATACAGATATTATAATGTATGATAGGAGCATTTCATATCATGAATTAAAAGTTTTAGCTTGTTTTGAATGACGGCGAACATGCTTTGATACAGTATATATGAACATGAGTTTAGTTTTCTATTTTACGGTTTTATAGAGTTTCCTGTGTTGATTTTTGTTTTGTTTTCTGTTATGTATCTTCTGTTAGTCCAATAATTGTGATTGAACTCAAAGACAGAGTGGGGTAATTAAAAATGAAATGTCTGAACACGCGAAATCAACATGTGCCGGTCCCAAGTCAGGAACGTAGTCAATGGTTGTTTCTTGTTCTACCTTAATGATTTTTGTAAGTCGGAGAGTTTCGCGTTGGTTTAAAAATCTATAATGCTCTCGTATATTGACCTCAAGATGGATTTTGGCTATTTTTAACTGTCGCATTTACATGTATCTAACATCTCCATGTATTCATATGTATAATCATCTATTTGTGATGGTTTTGAATAAAAAAATTCGTGTAACTCGTCATCATGTGCAGTATATATACACATATATAAAGTACTTACCAATAATATTATTACTTTCAACCGTTCCACTTGGTAAGACAATTTTCTCTAAAAAATTAAATTTTTTACATATAAAGAGAACTGTGTACTTTAAATCTGTCACATGGTTGATACCGTTGCTGGTAAACTGTTAGTTTCTCTCAGACGCATTTACCCGACGCCTATTTCTAATTGGTTTGGAACCGTAAATGATTTTGGTATACGTGGAGTGTTTGTTATGGGGAAAAATATGGTTTTTAATTCTTGTTTGCGAAATGCCTGTACTAAGTCAGGACACATTTGCAAAATACTTGTACTTAATCTAAGGATTATTTTAGTTAATAACACCTTATGTAAGTATGCTTGAATTTTATGGGCTAATAGCCAGTGTACTTTCGTGTACCTGCTTTTTTTCATCTAATGAATATCATTCATATTTCATTGCCACCGGGGTAGATGCACAAGAATATGCATTGTTTACCCTCTCTATCGTGGTATTTGTCAAAAAGTAGATGCCTTTTTTTATCCTTCACGGAGACGCATGGTCATTTTTGCGATTTACTAAATCAGATGTTTTCGCTTACGTCTTAATAGTGAAATAATAATGGTAAATAATCGAATGTTTAACTTAATCGTTTTATTGATATTCGTTGTAGTTAAACACAATATTATCATGTTATTTAGCGGATCAGAAAATGTATCTTCTCTCGACTGGAACCTTTTGATGATACCCCTCTTTAATATGATACATCTGCCCAAAATGAATATACATGTACTAAGTTTGCACCATCGAAACCTTGATAGTAATTATCGTACGTTTTCAATCTATAGATAGGCCGCCAAATTGGAGGTGTAACTTGTTGGTCTTCTTATTTGACGAAACAAACTGAACCATTCGGTACTTAACAAGTCTGATAAGAGATAATGTAAGTTACTGGTGATGAATCAAGCAAAGTTTTAAAAAAATCAAACTGTTCAGAAACCAACTTTTTGAAAGATCTGGCGACCAGAATAACCAGTTAAATTTGGCCGATTTATGAAGGAATTTGTGCATGCTGACCTCCAAAATGGCATCCAAAGGGTAAATAACTCTTGTAAAGCAGTTACAACTGAACATTATCTATTGTTTGTATTATTTCAGAGGAAAAATAAAGATTTAAAATAATAATGCCAAATGCATAACTTACCAAATCTACATATAAATGTCCGTCTGTCTGTACAGTTTCCAAACGCTGTTGATGAATTCCGGACGTCCATGTACTGACACATCATTGGATTAATAGATGATGTTTGATCTGAAAAGAAATGAATCATGCATAATTATAAGTAAATGAGGTTACGGGGTATACGTAAATGTGACACAAAACTTAATGACAGAATAAGCCAAAGGGCTAAACGGATGATGTTGTAATTAAAGAGAAAGACCTATGGCATATTTGAATATACATTTAAGAAGAAGGGGAGGTATATATGTCAACGAGACAGAAAAGCTAAATGACTACAGGTCAGCATTCAGTGTTCAACAATAAGCAAGCTTCTAAACAATATGGCAAAGTTCTCTAAATAAAAACAATAACAAACATGTCTTTCATAAAAAAATTTAAAACAGAGGTTTCTGATATGGGACATGTAATTCGAAGTAGGGGGTGTAAACTGCACCCTTTTTATTTCGATTATTGGACTAGCAAAAGTTCAAAATACGTAAAATCAACATTTTCTTGTCTTGTTCACTTTGGAAAGATAATTGTTCAACTTCTAACAAATAAACACAACTTTGATCTAAACGAAGTGTGAAGAACAATATATTATATAAAGTCCAGAATACAGACAAAAATATACCGTAAGACGAATAATAAATCATTAATAAGTTGTAAAGTAAAGCATATAAAATAAAACAAATATAAAATTATCAAAGCATGGTACTGATGAAAATTAGAGAACAAATAAACGCCTAAGATAAAAAGAATATGCAATACAAAGGTCATTAACAAACAGGGCAAATAGTTCATATAAATTTAACCGTTCTTTAACCTTTAAGGATGTTCGCTACTCTGCTTCAAAATAACAAGCTCTTTAAAATAAAATTGAGAATGGAAATGGGGAATGTGTCAAAGAGACATCAACCCGACCAAAGAGCAGAAAACAGCCCAAGCCGACCAATGAGTCTTCAACACAGCGAGAAAATCCCGCACACGGAGGCGGGCTTCAGCTGGCCCCTTAACTAACAAAAATATGTACTAGTTCATTGAAAATGGACGTCACACTAAACTTCAAAACATATAAATAAACTAAAATTAAAAAAACATACAAGACTAATAAAGGCCAGAGGCTCCTGACTTGGGACAGTCGCAAAGATGCGGCGGGGTTAAACATGTTTTGTGAGATCTCAACCTTCCCCTATACCTTTAGCCAATGTAGAATAAACAAACACACAGCAATGCGCACAGTAAAACTCAGTTCAAAAGAAGTGCGAGTCCGATGTCAGAATAGGTAACAAAAGAAACTATATAGCAAAATGACAATGATACATAAAAAAACAAAGGACTATTAGCAGTTACTGACATGCCAGCTCCAGACCTCAATTAAACTGATTGAAAGATTGTGTCTTCATCATATCAAAATCAAGCACAGTCCCTCCCGTCTCATGGTTTCTTTTTCAAGAATCAACGCTTATTCATTGTATCTATATTACAGATAGAACACATAACCCGTATCATGCCAACAACTGGTTTTAGGATAAAAGACTGTTATAAATTGAAAGTATATAAATAAAGGAACTAAAAAAAAATGAAAAAATTGAAAGTCCGTGTGCTTGTTTTTGAGATATAAGCCATTGTGAAAATTTGGCGGGAAGTGATTCTCTCTAGACTTTTCATACATTTAACATTGGCACCTGTTTTCTTTCAAAAACTATGAAAAATAACAAGGATTTTACAAGAATTTCAAATATGGCTTTTAAAACTATATGTTATAAAACTATGAAAGGAAAAGTAGGGCTTAGTGGGCAACATTTCTAATGGCACTACATGGATAAAACCAGAGGATTCTCAATATCTGACAACAATTCAAAAACAAGAGGAGCGAACATCCTTAAGTTATTTAAATCAATAATTATAGGTTTCATAACGAGTGAGAATTGGATATCGCTTGATATCAACTCAAGTTGTTTCATTTCAATATAATAATAAACGAGCCTTTATTATCTTTTCTGCCGTCAAACTTTAACATCAGACATTTTGAAACTTTCTGTACACTTCAGAATGTTAAAAAAATTGACAAAAGAAAATTTCCAGGTGAAAAGTGTTAATGTTTTGTATATTATTGAAGAAATCACATATGTGACAGTCCTTTGCCATGGACGAAATTTTCATCGTCTTAACCTTTGAAAATTATCAATGACCTAACGAATAGCCAATGGAAATGTCGTAATATCGTCTCATAATTCTGGATAAGCCAATCAAATTAACGCAGTTTTCGTATCACTTTTTCGTATCACACTCCGTGTAGTGTGATACGAGACATATCTCTTCATGCAAGAAATAGATAACAGGCCACAACCATAAGAGAATGTTTTATATCAATAGTTGTTTTAGATCTGTTAACACCATTCCTGGAAAACCAAATGATGAAATGCGGATTAAAAAATACATTTCAGTTCTTACCATTTGTTGTTAGATCACGTGTAAAGATATCACGTGTTGCACTGGTCCATAATTGGTTAGTTTTTTCAGTGTCACAAAAGGATTTGTTATTGTACCACTGCAAAAATGAATCAGCGTTGTCACATAACGTAGCAGCGCTTTGTTGTGTTGTAAAGTTTCCATTGTTTAACCCAGATTCTGGAAGAAAATGAAGTTGCATGAGCTTTTGCAATCGCTCTAAACATATTACACTGACAACTACAGGTAAATAAAGCATCACAAACTCATTTGAAAAAAGAGGATGAACTATAAAGGTCATCCGAAAGTGAAATAAGTTCCTTCGTACCGATCTATTGAGTTAAGCCATTCGCCATGACTTTTACAGTTTGTTTCTTATGTTGAGCTGTTAGACCGCTGTCCCAGGTTTGGGGGACGGTACGGTTGAGCGCTCCAAATATGTTAAAGCCCGCCGCCACATTCGGTATGTGCTTGCCCCAGTCAGGAGACTTTAATTCATTGGATGTCGTTAGTTCATTTCTGTTATATTTGTTTTTCGTAAATTGTATTGTTATTAATAAGGCGTTTTTTTTTCTCGTTTGAATCGTTTCACATTTTGTCATGTCGGGGCCTTTTATTGTTGACTATATGATATTGTATTTATCATGATTGAAGGCCGTGCGGCGCCCTTTACTTGCTTACATTCTGATGGATATTTGCTTCATTGGCAATAATACCACATCTCCTTATTTTCTTATTGCTCTACTAGTGACACTTCATGTCAGTCTAAGTAAAAATAGCAAAATGACGAGACAAATGAGTGTCAAACTTGTAACCTGTTTTGAATCATGAAAACACTCTTATCAATTCGATACACACGTTTTAAGAACAAATATGTAAATGTATTGTGAAGTATCGACTACCAGACTGCGCTACAGATAGACAAAATAAGCTTGTTTACTGTGCTTCTTCGTAACTCAAGGTTAAACCTATACGCTTATTTATCTAACGACACTTGTTTGAATTTTACCGAAACAAAAACATCTTTCCTAGACCGAGTTTGATTTACTATTTGTCTAGACATATTGCATAGACATTTGTCTGTTGTTTAAACCCGTGTGTTGACAGCTAGATTCTATTGACAATTTTACGTTCTTGGGTACCTGCTCATCGACGCATACTTCACACTTCCCTTTATCTATTTTAAATGTAAAATGATCACTTGCATTCCTAAAGGTATTGTTTACCACATATTCCTTCATAAGAACTGTTGCAGTTTTCTGATCTGAGAATGATTTCTCCATCCTGACACTGAGCTGACATACATTTTAGTTGATCTTCTGGTGTGTTATCTAATGTTCTCTTTACTCCAGGTATATTTTCTATACAAATATATATATCAAGATGAATAATATTAAAACAACTTCAGTACCTGATTTAAGATCAACGAGACATAATTGTTTCCTTGGTAACACTTTCTGACAGCTAGGTACGAAGAGCCTCTGTCAACAATGGTTAAATCGAGTGAGACATATATTATACATTCCGTATTACATTAGTGCTGTCAATCAGTGAACGAGAAGCACACCACCTGACTTGTAAGCCATTATCCACCTTATATTCCAAACCCTGTATTGACATGTTATATACGGTATTTATTTACAACAACTGCGACATGTGAGCTCTTTCTGCAGGTTAAGGAAACAAACAAATTATTATTCAAACATGAACTACATATAGTCCGGACCATTATATTAAAATATGCATAGGAAAGGAAAAAAACCAATGTTGATACTCTCAAACTTCCTTCAATAACAAAAAAAAAAAAACAACTAAACTATGATACAAGTACATACCATCTACTAATCTATACTACTAAAGGAAGAGACCGATTTCATTGAGCCGCAACTCCTCTGAAACCATACAAAGTCGGAAATATTTGTGATGTAACGTATAAATGTAGTATTTTGTACTTCCTAAATGTGTCTTTGAAACAATATTTTTTCCACAGAAAACACCCATTTTTGAGAAAATATCAAAATTCGGAGACCGTTATCGATCCGTGACTTATACGCTTTCGCGCATGCTCAGTCGACATACTGCCCGCGAAATCCAAGTTAAAGTAAGAAGACAGGATAGAAAATATGATAGGCCTATAAGGATCCTGTATTGTATTGTAAGTGCATCATTTTGCTAAAATAAACGACATCCACCCTTTTTACTCAGGTGCAGAACTGTCCAAAAATGAAATGGGCATTGAATGTGTCGAAGTGATACCCCCCCCCCCCCTTTTTATGTGTAAACACAGGCACCCGACGTCTGGACCCCTCCCCCTTTTTATGTGTAAACACAGGCACCCTTGATACTCTTTGTTTCAACACTTGTCCAATTGTACCGCGATTTCGCGGGCATCTTCTAGTAACTAAAATTGAAAGCGACCCCAAACCCAAACGAGAGAGTACCTTGAATGGAATAGCTCCAAATAAATACAATTAAAATACTAACGTTTATAGACAACCACATAACTCGTTGTTTGACTCGATGTTTGACAATATGAATGTAAAACAGGAGAACCGGTTACATCTAGACAGTAACACGCACCATCCTGTAAATACAATACGCAAATATATTAGTAGGGTTAACATAAATTATGGCATTAGCAAAAGTAACTGTATTTTTATTCAACAATAATTAACTTTTCTAACACTTTTAATTTTTCAGTTTGTATTGCGTCCTAAATCTTAAAATTCTGTTTCTGTCTTTGAAAATAAGACGTTTCATTATGCATTACGTTCGAACTATTATAGACTGCTACCGGAATCTATATTACATATGAAACGAATTTATATCGTGTATAGTTTAGAGGTTAGTTTTGCATATGAAACCGTACGCTCCTCTCACAGGGATAAACTTTTCTCTGAAAAATACAGAAACAATACAAACGTCCTGACAACATCATGACACATCGAGATAAACATCATATAATTTTGTAGGAAATTATGTATGAGTAGGGTAAAGCATTCGGGTGGTTTGCATGAATATTTTGACAAACCAACTGACCGAAAGAGAAAATAAATTAGTAAACTTTAAGAAACGCATTAAGAAAATTATCTAAAAGTAAATACAGTTTGTGTAAAACTACAAAGTATACACCATTATTTACCATTATGCTCGCGCTTGCACGGGTAACTACCTTATATATAATACTCAACCAACCTCAAAAGAAAAGTATTGTGATGATTGACAGTACTGCTGACATGAATACTTTCCGTCGTTAGTGTCATCAAACGTCGCTGATACTATCTGTGGAGACTTATAACAGCCTACAATTACAAAAACGGCAAACTCATAAAAGGCAGCTCCATTGTTTCCTTATTGATTTTGCAAGCATACAACTGATCGAATCTTAACATAAGTTTACAATAACAAGCTTAATGTTTTTGCTTAGAGGTTCTGATATATTTCTTAACAATACATGAGTGTCTGGTAAATTTGGTTTGGGTTGACTCCGTCTACCGTTAGCTTCTTTTTTGACATTATAGTGAAATACAATGTACTTTTAGTATCTCGTCTGCTTTTTTATAAAAAAAAAAAAAACGGACTGACAAGTTGGTCGTTGGGCATAGATGCGTTGCCAAACATCTCATTTGTCCTCTCCCCTAAACCATCGAGTTTCTTCATTGTCTTCCATTTCTTCGCGTATGACTTTTTCCCGTAACTTAAGAACACCCTTATGTTCTTTGAATTACTAAATGAAAACCGCTATTGGTTTAAACTCAGTGTATGGCAAAATCATCAACGGGATTACGAATTTAGATTATTCCGTGTAATTCATTAAATTTCAACATCCTGTTTTTTTCTTCCATGACTTTCACTGATATTATACCTTTACAGTTTGACTATAAATGGTTGATTCAAATAGATATCTATTGTTGAAGCTTCATGTTGACCTCTAGCTGTTAATCGATTTTCGTATCTGACCTTTTAAGTTAGTAGTTAATTTTTTGTCGTTGGATTTCTGTCTATTTGACACATTACCCTTATCTCACATACAGACAAATGCTGTCATAAAAACATGAGAAACTTGTTATTTTTTGCACAATCTAATTAAAATTAAATCTATGCACTCGCTCATTTTTTGTATGCTTGTGCGTAGATTTAATTTTGATAAGATTGTTTTTTTGAAGTGACAAAATCTAATTAAAAATTCTCTAATTATTGAAGTAAGAAATAATGTGTTCCTTGTCAACGCAATTCTTTTTGGAAAACATGTTTAAATTTGATATTTGTAAGCTGTTTGTAACATTTTTCCCCTAGCAAGAAGTTCAGTTGTTCAATTTGCCAAAAAAAAAAATCAAATAAATAAAAATTGATGCAGCGTAAAGCAAATATCAATCAATCATGAAAAAATTAAATATAGAAACAGTCCTTGCAGTCTACCCAATTCGCAATATATTAATTTTACATCCTTAAGGATGTACTTAGGTCAGGTTTAGGAATTTTGGTCAGATCATGTTCGGACTCCTTGATTTTTCTTCCTACTATACAGGGTAAAGTATTTTGCCCCATAACACCCATTTTTCTTTTCATATAAGACTTCAATAGTTCATAAAAGGTCATTTACCAAAATTTAAGCAGATTCTAGATTTCTTTTCTTTCGATTTGAGACCCAAATAATACCAATGCAAATTTGAGGTAAAAGTTCGAGTCAGCCTTTTCCCGCCATTTAAAAAAAAATAAATATCTCGAAAAGGAGCTCCATAACCTATCAATATTTCTAGCTTATTTTGTTCCTTAACTAATGCTCTTCTGACTTATAGTATCAATTTTAAATTCTAGATTTTTTTTAATTTCACCTTAGTACATCCTTAAATATATAAGTGTGTGTATAAATATATAGTCACATATCTGAAATTGTAAGTTACATAAGTTCATTTTTTCATTGCTATTTTTAAGAAACAGTCTGTATCAGTTTAGCCACTGTGTGCATCAATATTGTATGACTGTAAATATACCCCAGATCACAGACCAGTCAGACCACGTGGTATAAGATCCAGTCCAGATTTGTTCTGTTATATTTTCAGACGATGTAATGGTATCTGTATGATTCATTTCTAGAATACTGCTCTGGTTAAAGCAGAAATCCTTGGCTTCTGACCATGATAATTCCGTATTGTAATATGTTCTTATTATAACGGTCTCTAATGCAACTGAAAAGAAAAGAAAGTAAAAAAAGAATACATTATTACCAATATACAATTACACGATTTCTTTTTCTACGGGAAGCCGTACCAAAAATATTGACCGACTTCTCAGAACATTCAGAACATTTTCAAAATCACGTATTGAACTAGAGAAACCTTTAAAAATTTCCTCAGAAATTACATTCTACAAATTTTATTGGTTCACTGAAATTTGAGCATATATTCTCTATATATTATTGCCTCCCTTCCTATTAGAACCATCAAAAATAGCATTGTTAACGACATACTTGTATTGCTTCTTTTTATCTATTAACACGATCAAACCTTTTGATCCATATATGATATATACATATAGATTCTACCACTGCATCGAGTGTGATACGATATTTATCCACTCGAGACAGTTAAATTTTCAAATTTAAAACGCGAGGCTCGCCGAGCGTTTTAAATATTTAAAATTTAACTGTCGAGAGTGGATAAATATCGTATTACACGAGATTTGGTGGTGGAATCTGTTTCTCTAATGATTTTCAAACAATATGCAGGCAAACTTATTCCGTCTTTTCGAATGATCTGTAAAAAGATGTGTTCTTTTGATGTGACGTCATCAGGCATGGTCGCCTTTTTTCATGCGGTCACAATAGGAAATTCAGAGGAAAGCAAGTAAATTTGACGTCACAATCGGATTTTAACCAATGAAGAACTGAGATCAAACGAACCACACGTTGATTAAATTTTTTTTATACAATGGGTGCAGAAAGGGGTAAATTGACGAAGAATTAGAGAAACATGTATATATCATATATGGATCAAATGGTTAAATAGATAAAGAGAATCAATACAAGTATAACGTAAACAATACTATTTTTCTATGGTTCTAATAGAAAGGGGCAATGATGGAGAAGTCCAATGGACATATTAAGACATACATTTACATGTATCATAGATTGATATACTAGTACTTAAAGTTTATATAAAAAGAAGATGTGGCATGAGTGCCAATGAGACAACTCACCACAAGAGACCAAATGACACAGAAATTAACAACTATATAGGTCACCGTACGGCCTTCAATAATGAGCAAAGCCCATACCGCATAGTCAGCTATAAAATGCCCCGAAATGACAAATGTAAAACAATTCAAACGAGAAAACTAACGGCCTAATTTATGTACAAAATAATGAACGAAAAACAAATATGTTAAACAGAAACCACTAAATTACAGGCTCCTGACTTGGGACAGGCACATACAGAATGTGGCGGGGTTAAACTCGTTTGAAGGCGCCAACCCTCCCATAATCTGGGACAGTGGCGTAACAGTACAACATAAGAACAGACTATAAAAATCAGTTGAAAAAACTCATCAGATGGATACAGACAGAATACATATGGATACATATAACAAAAACACAGAGTGGACGTGGACGGGAACTTATACATCCCCACAACAAAAAGACACTAAATACAGAGCACTCGCAGTTACTGACAGCTAATTCAAACCCAATAACAACTAATAAAAAAAATCATGCATCTAAGACTAAAATATCAATCGGTACACATCCAACATCCAATGGATTTAGTGTAAAGACGTCATAAACAGTCAGAGAAAAACATGACCTTGTGCAATGCCAAGATACAGGTATCGACAAATTGTAGAGTCATGAATGTGCATATGTATATAAAAATGATATTTACTTTGATTTTAATTTACTGATAACACAACCAATATTAATACCAATAAAAACAATATTCAAAGATCGAATGGCAGTGTTGAATTGGTAACCTTTTAGAATAAGTTTATTTAAAGGATCGATAAGTTAACCCAGATCGTTTCTAAATTTCAAGGCTCGGTAAACAACATCTCCGTAAAAATGAGGATGTGCTATCCCGTTTGAAATACGTTTTCTATAGGTACAACCAAACTTCAAAATATAATCTTTATATCTATGGAAGAATTAAGAAAAGGTTTTAAGTAATTTGTGGTTACGAAATCCCTGATTTAACAATTTACCAGTAATACGTAGAATTATGTTCACTGAAATCAAAAACGCCACAACAGACACGGACATAGCGAACGAGTTGTGAAATATAAACACCGTAAGTTGGTGCCATAGGAACATCACCGTCCAAAAAAGGAAAATTAACAATAGGGAACGAAAAATCGTCCCTTTTGTCGTAAATTTTAGTGTAGAGTTTCCAGTGTAAATAGATATAAGAAGATGTGGTATGAGTGCCAATGAGAAAACTCTCCATCCAAGTCACATTTTGTAAAAGTAAACCATTATAGGTCAAAGTACGGCCTTCCACACGGAGCCTTGGCTCACACCGAACAGCAAGCTATAAAGGGCCCCAAAAATGACAAGTGTAAAATCATTCAAACAGGAAAACCAACGGTCTAATCTATGTAAAAAACGAGAAACGAGAAACACCTATGAACCACATCAACAAACGACAACCACTGAACACCGTTTATATTTGATTTATCTAAAGTAAGTTCCTTTTGGGTAAATTTCGGCAGTATATATAAGTTACAAAATGCTGATACCATTTTTTTAAGATACATGTAACAGAGGGATTATTTAATACTGGCGAATTACACAATTGACTGATTGATTGATTAGTTGGTGTTTAACGCCACTTTCAGCGCTATTATGCTATATCCTGGCGACTAGTTTTTATTGGTGGAGGTGGCCGGAGAGAATCACCGACCTTCGGTAGATGTCTGACAATCCTAGTCAATTGAGATTGGATTTGAGCGCACCTGCCACGTTCGGGATCCGAACTCACAACCTCAGTGTTGACAGGCTATTGATACAGTAGTTCGACTAGATAGACCACTCGGCAATCGAAGCCCCCTTGAATTACACAAAGACAATATATCTTCGAGTTTTTATCATTATATTCAGGAATATACTTTGCTCTGAGTGTGCTCATATTACATGTTTTACGATTTAAAGAAGATTGTTTCTATAAATTGCCAAAACAATATATCGCGATTTTAAACATATCATTCTTCTCTCTTTGCTAACCAGAGTAGCAAAAATATTTTGTTAAAATGTTCGAATTGGTGACGTTAAATTAAGATGATAAATCAAAATATTTAGAGGGAATTA